TTTTGTAGAATGTCCTTACAGTTCAATGTGAGGTCATAGCGTCATTTACATACACATTTTGTGTCCCTTTTATAACTTTTTTATGGTTCAGATATTCATCTATGTCTGTACAGAAAAGGCTGCTATTTTTTTCTTTTATCTTTTTTGTGTATTTAATCTATGATAGAAAAAAAATGAAAAAAAGCACCTTCAGGTCTACTCTTCCATCTACTCATGTCCTATAAATTTGCTTCTCGTTTTCCTAGGGCTTATACACACACATACACACACACATACATACACACATACACACACACACAAAAACACACACACACACACAACACACATACACACACACATACATACACACATACACACACACACACACACACACACACACACACACACACACACACACACACACACAAAGAGTATATGTACAAGAGGCTTCCATTGGCTGGGATGGGAGACTTTGATGGATCGCGAGGTGACGCGCTGTTTCTACACTTCTATGAATAAGCCCCCAATTGTGTCATATGATTCCTCACATTGTACACCTCCCATGAATGAACTTGTAGAAGTAGCCATTTATTGTTTATTGCCTTTTATGTGTGGCATGAGTTTTTTTTTTTTTCTCTTTGTGCTTCATAGTAGTGTAAAACCAAGTGTTTAGAGAAGGGTGGTGGTGCAGAGAAAGTGTCTCGAGACACAGTGTATAATTATTGTCCCTTTTTTATCTCCTCACACAGCTATCATTTTGTTATGTTGCAATGCGTCAAATAACTCAGGTCAAAAACAAACAAACGGAAAAAAACAAAAAAACATCACACAGTCTCATATTAACGCTGTTTGTCCCTTCCTAGCATCAGAGCCGGAGCCCGTCGCTTGGCTTTGGTTACAGGATGGCTTGCATGTTTTTCCATCTATCTCTCCTGTATGTGTACTTTGTGTGTGCGTGTGTGGTTTCATTCTTGGATACAGCCCCAAGCTTTAAGTCTCAACGTCTATTCTGGGAGCTATTTTTTCATTAGCCCTACCTGAAAAACCCTTCCATCCCAAGGACAAATTGTCGCACAGACCAAAATTTCTTTCAACTAAATGCATTCTGTAAAACTTCTCACAGTCCAGTAAACCCATCTTGTGGTGCCTTGTTGCAACTGCATACAAAACATTTGAACTTTAAAGGCTACACAATTTAAACTAGAATTTCTAGCTTGAACCAGCAACACACATATGTTTTTACAGGAGATGAACAGCAGTCTCTGTATTTGCGTTTATGTAATCCCTTATGGTGCATTATTGCTCAGGAGTGAAGAGCGTATGTGCCATGGTGGTCACAAGTGTGGCAATTTGAATACCCCCCTAAATATACGGGTTACTTGGAGGTAAAGTTGCTGGTACTTGTAGATATTTCGTTTTATCTTGACTTTACAAATTGATCTGTAAATTTGGAGACTAAGCATGGAGGTCTGGGTATTACTTACTCACAACTCCGGGTATTCACAAAGGATATTGAGAAAATGGGTGTTGCTGAAACAGCCAGTCAGATTCATTCTTTATCAAGTGCCGTTCAGAAAATGAAACTATCTGATTGGCAGATACTATTCACATGTTTCCTCCTTGTTTAATAGAATACCTTACTGTGAGCTAACCTATTGGGGTTTATTTATCAATCTGCCAACAATTAGAACGATTTGTGTGGCCACAACAGCTAGTCAGATTCAAGGTAGCACTGGAAAATGACAGAAGATGAAAGTCTGTATGTGATTAGCTGCTGGGGGCAATGCAGACAGTTCTTGTTTCAGACACTTTGCCTTTATGTTCTTCCACACTGAACACGACTAAACTAAAAATATCACAATCTTAAATACAGTGTGATAATAGTAAAGCACAATGTTTTTGATTGAATGAAAAAAAAAGAACATCTGTCAGGTTTTTATTGCTGTATGTGACATCATTGGGGAAATTTACCTCCACTTCCTGTTCTGTCTGACACCTGTCACCTGGACAGAAAGTGATAAGAAATTGCTTCAACAAGAACACAAACAGCAGTAAAGTAGTAAGAGGTCCTAAACTTTCCTACCCTAAAATCCAAACCTAAAGGGATTGGCTGGAAATGGTCTACAACAGCAGTAGGCAAACCCCGGCCCTACAACTAAGGTGAATCTTCAAATTCCGTCATGTCTGTAGCTGTCAAAGGCTTGCAGTGCCTCATGGGATTTGTTTTTACCACAGCTGGAAGGCCAGAGCTTGCCTACCCCTGGTCTATAACATTGACCTTGTTACCCTTGTTCTTAAACTAGGTCTGTATTGTATGAAAGTGCTAAACAGTTACACTTAACACCTAATGTAACCATACAGAATGAGAGAACACTTCATTTAACTATACAGAATGAATGAAGATTGTATCGATGTCTAAAATAACGTTTCATTCAAAGAAGGATCACATTAACAGGTATGGGCATGTTGCCCTTAAATAATATGGCTGCTGGAGGAGTTTGATATGAAATGTTATGTTGGTATATTTAATTCTGCACATGCAGTGCGGATAGCTTATGCTACTATGTTGTTACAAAATAAAAAACTTTATATATTTGCCATTAGGAAGTCAAATAAACCATAAACGTATATTTGTTTTGCCTGCGTTGTAACTCAGAGGCCTTGCCGATATTTTGAAAGCACTTATAAATCCCCATTCCTTCTCATTGCTGACTACTGCCATCAAGATTTGACATTAATCAACATTTAGACCAAAATGCAGATTTTTCAACCGTAATGAAACCGAACAAGGCTTATTTAATGACATGGTGGGCTTCATTTACTTTTTGTTAGGGAAGATCTATCTTACTCTCTTGCCCATTACAAACAGAATCTTCCTTCCGTTCTTCCATGCTGCACTTGGAGAATGAAAGGATCTAAATACTAACCATGACATTAGAGACATTTCTTCACTTAACACTGTGATAAGTGTGACCCATTCTAAGGTGCAGATAGCAGCTAATCACAAGACCACCTCTCCAGCTTATCCTCCTGAGTCACCCACAGATAGAAGATGCATCTTGGCCTATCCAGCCAATTTCAGCCAGGCCAGTGGTTGAGTTCCTGCAGACACCACTGGCTGACATTGTTAGAGGGAAATAGTGGCCGGACAGATCAGAAAACTTTACCTGATTCCCACTGTTTCCACTAAAAGAAATCACCTCAAGCCCCATAGGCATAAACATGAACACTTAGCCAAGCTGCTTGAGGTTGTGTTGGTCAAATTGTGTCTAAGAGTGGTCACCCAACTTCCCTTGTATGTCTGTGGCTGCCCTTATAGAAATACGAGGGGTTCAGTCTGGTTAGTGGCTATTGTTGCTCCTTGCTATTGAGTAAGACCCATTATTTGCTTTGGAGTGGAAGGGTTTTTTTCTTCCTAATAATGGCATTGTATCATTGGTCATTATGACTGCGGTAAAAAAATAAATATATGAATGCCTGAACTAATATGTTGAAGAATATTAAATCTTACATCATCTTGTACATTTTCTTACCCTGTAACCCCTACATGTACGAAGGTATTTTGTGTAGGATTTCTTTTTTCTTTCTTATTTATTGTTCTTGTTGATTTTGGTCACTGTTAAATGCCCCAACACTTAAATATGTATTGCGATATGGTTTTTTTCTTTTCTTTTTGTAAATGACAGGGGACAGTTTTCAATATTTTTCCCAATCATTTATCTACCTCACTCTTTATTTTTTATAAGTGTAAATATCTATATATATATA